GCACTCTGTAGATGTCGTAATTAATTAAATAATTATCATATGGCTTTGTGTGCAGAATAGACAGAAGAGCCTAAGATTGTCTGGCAGCCACAGATTCTAGGTCTTCGAGCGTTATGCACCACTAGGGGGTGAGCTAGACTTTTTTAAAGGCAAGAGGCATTTCAGAGGTGGCTTGCCATTGCCTGCCTCTGCATCGCAGCCCTGGTATTCCTTGGAGCCCGCCCTTCCAAATACTAGCCAGAGCCGACCTTGCTTAGCTTCTGAGATCTGATAGGATCAGGCTATCCTGGGCTAGTCATAATTCCGGGAGAACTCCAGCCCCCGCCTGGAGGTTGTCCGCCCTACTACCATCTACTCCTCAGGAGGTTACCAAAGGTCATTTGGGAGCACCGACAGCAGGAATTTCTAAACTGGTTCAACAGTTACCCTCTTTTCTCAAGGAACAATAAGATCTTTAGTTCCGTGTGAGTGGAGCCAAAGATCCTTAACATGAAATTGTCATCGCGCTCAACAAATTACAACTCCCAGGATTTTTTTTTTTGCAGGGAAACGATGAAAGTTAAACTGGTATATTTCATAACGTCTGTTTAACCCTTGTGCACTGATTGCTTTAACAGATTAAGATGGATCTTCCCCCCCCTCTTGGAATCAGATTGACAGAAACATGGCAGGGTCCCCTCTCCTTGCTGCCCAAAAGGCTGACAATTCTAAAGCTAGTTGACCTACAGCATGTATTCTCTCACTGTCTACCTGTCCTTAGCAGCAGAAGAAGAGATTGGATTTATACCCCGCCCTTCACTCAGAGTCTCAGAGCGGCTTACAAACTCCTTTCCCTTCCCCTCCCCACAACAGACACCCTGCGAGGTAGGTGGGGCTGAGAGAGGTCTGACAGAACTGTCCTCGAGAGAACAGCTCCGACTGAACTATGGCTTGCCCAAGGTCATCCAGCAGCTGCACGTGGAGGAGTGGGGAATCAAACCTGGTTCTCCCAGATCTGAGTCCGTGCACTTAACCACTACACCAAACTGGCTCTCAGCTGTAGAAAAGACCAGAGTCCAGTCGCAAAATTTGAGGCAGGGTAGGAGCTTTCTTCAGATAAGGTAAAGGTAAAGGTTCCCTTGCTCAAAAGCCAGTCGAATCCGACTCTAGGGTTGCAGTGCTCATCTCCGTTTCAAAGCCGAAGAGCCAGCGCTGTCCAAAGATGTTTCTGTGGTCATGTGGCCGGCATGACTAAACACCAAGGCGCACGAAACGCTGTTACCTTCCCACCGAAGTGATATCTATTTATCTACTTGCAATTTCTTGCTTTTGAACTGCTAGGTTGGCAGGATTCTTCAGATACACGTCTTCAAATTTTACCTGTATCTGAAGAAATGAGCAGTGACTCACGAAAGCTCCTACCCTGACACTTTTTCTTTAGTCTTTAAGGTGCTACTGGACTCTTGCTCTTTCTTGCTGGCTACCCATCTTGATCTGCGTGTCCTTAGGAGCTTATATGAAATGTTATGTTGAAAAATTTGGACAGAAAGAGGTTTTTCTCCCATTCCTACAATACTAGAACTCGGGATCACCCAACAAAGTTGATGTGTGTTAGGACTGGAACATGTAACAGGAAGCACTATTTTTATATAACGCACAAATAACGTATGGAATTCACTACTACAAGCAGGGATCTTTTTGTAGCAGGAACTCCTTTGCATATTAGGCGACACACCCCTAATGTAGCCAATCCTCCAAGAGCTGACAGAGCTCTTCTTACAGGGGCTACTGTGAGCTATTGGAGGATTGGCTCCATTAGGGGTGTGTCGCCTAATATGCAAAGGAGTTACTGCTCCAAAAAGAGCCCATACTCCACAGTTAGAGTTGCCAAGCTCCAGGTGGTAGCTGGAGATCTTCCATTATTATAACTGGTCTCCAGACAACAGAGTTCAGTTCACCTGGAGAAAATGGCTGCTTTGGAAGGTGGACTCTATGGCACTATACCCATTGAAGCCCCTCCCCAAACCCCACCCTTCTGAGGCTCCATCCCCAAATTACCCAGGTATTTCCCAACCCACAGCTGGCAACCTTATCCATAATGGCTAAAGAGAACCTCCATGCTCTGAAGCAGTACACGGGCCAGGGCTCTTTTTGTAGCAGGAACTCCTCTGCATATTAGGCGACACACCCCTAATGTAGCCAATCCTCCAAGAGCTTACAGTAGCCCCTGTAAGAAGAACTGTGTAAGCTCTTAGAGGATTGGCTACATTAGGGGGGTGTCGCCTAATATGCAAAGGAGTTCCTGCTACAAAAAGAGCCCGCCCCCGACCAGCAGATGTCTGGGACAAATAAGGAAGGAGAGCTGTTGCCTTCATGTCCTGCTTGTCATCTTCCCAGAGGACAGCATCGAGCTGGCCACTGTTAGAAACAAGATGCTAGACTAGATGGATTTTTGTTCTGGTCCAGTAGTCTCTTCTTATGTTCTTAATTAATACATTTTCATCCACGAGCCCCCACTGATACGAATGGGATCTAAGCAAGTGCACTCAACAACAGACCTGAATGTATTGTTTTTTTTCCAATGGACATCTAAAAGATTAGTCCAGTGTAAACAATTTGCAGGCATAAGTCAACTTTTTGAGAGGGTGTCATGCGGTTGGAGCTGGGAGGTTGGCACGGAGCCGAGCCGCGTGACACTTGAAAGTGTGGTAATGAATACTGGCGGAAGTTTCCTTAGACATCAGCTCCGCATTAGTAACAAAGCCGGTTCTGCCAAAACGTCTCTTTTGCTCTAGCAACTGTTTTGCCACAGAATGTGGTAATGGATGTGAGAGCTCGAGTCCCACGGCCCCTTTCCTTACTGCAAAACTATCAGCTAACCCCTAGATTCTCTGACCCTCTCCCTCCAAGCCTCAGTGTTGCTACTTATATTATTACTACCATCAGATAACACTGTTTGTCCCTTTGTACACAGTCGCATAATATTTGTGCAAGTCCAGAATGGTTCTTTTAAGCTGTTCAGAGAAGTCTGCTTTTCAGAGGCTGCTTTATAGCCCACTTTTTTTTCTTTAGTCCACCCAATCTGAGTCAGTCTCACTCTTGCTTCCAACTTCCCATTTCCCTCCGTACCTCAACCCCCTTCTTCCCTGTTCCACTAAACAACGCCACTCTTTGTTCAGCTTTGCCATAGAAACCCAAGGCAGACAAGCTCAACCTCCTAAATCTTGTCTCCTCTTACACTAAATGTAATTAGAATTATGGCCTCGGGAAGGAGGGGAACTCCAGGCTTCGAGGTCGCTGAAAGGTTTCCTGTCAGAACCAACAACTTCATCTTAATTCTCAGGGCTACCAAGTGAGCCGTCTGATGTGCCAAAAGAGGTGTGACCGTTATAATAGACCCAAAGCCATTCCAAAATGCCATTCACAGGTTGGAGGGGTAGTACAGCCCTAGGACTGTGTATATCAGCATTAGTGCTCTTAAAACCATCCAACTCCCATCAAGGAGATTAAACTAAGTGCATTTACTGTTGGATTTAAATGATCTGTGGTTGCTGACAATAGATTCCTTCAAGAGGTTTACAGGAGGAAAGAAACAAAATAATAACAGCAGTAGTAGCCTTTGACTCAAATATCTAATATAGGGATGGGCACAAACCAGCTGACGAACCAAAGTTCATTCTGAATTTTGGCCTGTTCGGGGTTTGCGAACCAGAATTCGTGAACTAAAGAACCAGGACACACTACCATGAATTTTGGCACAATTCATGATGGCTTGTGACGATTCGTGAAGAGCAGAAAGCAGGGATTTCTCCCTGCTTTCTGCTCTTTAGGAGAAACATCTGACCAGCTGTGAGCTCCCCACAGCTCAGGTGTTTGGTTTAAATGACTCAGAGCCATTTAAACCCTGCTTTTAGCTCCCTGTGACTGTTAGTTTCCCACAGCTTTCTGCAAAAAACTGTGAGGAGCAGAAAGAGGGGCTTAAATCGAAGGGTTGAACTGCCTTCATGGGGGTACTTCATCCCTACCTTTCTGCTGGCTGCTGCTCACCACAGCCAGGAGAAAGGGAGAAGGGAAGCCTCTTCCCCAGTGAACCTTTCTCCCTTTGTCCTGATTGTATTTATTTATTTAGATTTCTAGACACTCTCCCCTGCATAGCAGAACTCAGGGCAGATTACAGCAATAAATATAAACAATTAATCTGAGACAATTAAAACATAATTACACAAGATTAAAACCTATAGAACATCAGCTAATACAATTCCCAAGATGGCAGTCAGGCACAAATTGACACATGCTCCCTACAAACGTTCTCTGCATGTGTGCCCATAGATGATAATAAATACTGGGCAAGTGGGCAAGGAAGTAGTGAAGCAGATAATACAAAATAAAGAGAGTAATAAACAGCGCAAGCAGGGTATTCTGTATTGTCAGATAAGCTCTCCACCTCTATAGCCACACATTATAATGATGATTACAATTGTCAAAAGCCACCGCTGCACATATTCTTACAAAACTCCACCATGCACTAATTCTAATAAATAATGATCTGTATAAAAGCAACATAGATGCCTAAGTTTCCTCAGCTCTCACTAACAAGGCAACCGCCTTAATTCCTCAGACGCCTTAACAAAATCCCACCCATTGCAAAAGTTGGTATATAACTATCTTCCTGTTTTATGGGATTATCACAGCACTGTGGCTTGGCTTCTGCTCTTATTCGCAGAACACTGAACCTTACTAAAGTTCTGTAAGGAAACTAGGCCATTGAAATAATCATTATCATTTGAGAAGTGAAGAGAAATGCCCCCCCCCCCCCCGGATGCCGTTAAAGTCCTCAGATCAATACTTTTAACTAAGCAAAACAGAACACTTGATTTCACTGGTTTTACCAGCCTTTCCAGCAGTTAAATGTTATTAAGTTCTCTCCATTCATCTGTCCTGTCTTACATCAGACAAGGCCAAGTCTTCCTCACTAGCCCACAGGGCAATTGCAGCTTTGGTCCCCTTTAAAGTCAGCTTACCTCTTTCACCAGGTCTTCCAGGCTGCCCAGAACTGCCAGGAAATCCTGGCCTTCCTGGAGATCCCGATTCTCCCTGAGGTCCAGGTGACCCTTGCCTCCCGGGTTCACCAGGAGGTCCAGGGATAGTTCGGGTTGACACGGATTGGCTTGGAACCTGATTCAAGATGGAGTTATATCTGGCCAGGTGTCCTGCAAGGTAGGAAGACCCACAGAATTTGACATTTCAACCAACTGACAGAAGCCACGCTGAGCACTTTATCTTCTAAGACTCAAAGCGACACAAATGTTCCAATAAATAAAAAAAATAAGCATCTTGTGGTAGCGCTCTACTTTTCTTAAAAAAAAATACAAACCCAGGCTCTAGATAGCTTTCAGGTTTGACAAGGATGTACATCCAGACCCTTTGTTAAGAAAGTGGGAGAACAGTCCCCCGTGTGAGAAGGAAAAAAGCACAAACACTGATATCAATAAATCAATCATAGCAGTGTGCCATCAAGTCACAACTGACTCACAGAGGACCAAGGGATTTTTATAAGGCAAGAGATGAGCAGAGGTGCTCTGCCATGGCCTTCCTCTGCAAAAAAACTGTGAGTTAGCTCACACTAACTCAGCTTAGAGGGAACACTGGTGGGCGCTAGGAGAAATTCCCTGCAACCTCCACTTGCTTCGTATCTGAGGGCTCCCAAGTGATCTGGGGGAAGGCAGGAAACCCAGGAACAGTAGCACTAGGAGAACAAGATAATGTGAAAATATAAGGACAACCTGATACACAGATGGCTGGCAGGGGAAGAAACTGGCCTCTATTGGTATGGGGCAGGGAAAATGGCTGCCGTGTGAGCAGGACTGGAAGCTGCCTTATACCGAGTCGGTGTGTCGGTCCATATGGACCCGTATCACCAATTCGGACTGCCAGTGGGGTCTCCATGACACAGGCAAAGAAAGGCCTTTCCTGACACAAGCAGCCTCCTGGTCTACCTGAATTGGCAGGAGACCTTTTGCACGTAAAACTCTTCCACCATCCCAAAACATCCACTTCCACTCGTGGAATGTCATGGAACGACAGGTGTCCCACCAACTCAAACACAAGGCATTGAGCAACTCGGTAGACCACCCGGTTCTTTGCTGCCTGCCAAGAGTTTTTTCAAGCATCCAGTGAGCATTCAGCAGTACCCAGTGGCACTGGGCATTCAGCTTCCTAGGTCATCAAGATGAACATGTCCCTATTTTAGAAATAAACTAAGATTGGTAACAGGTGAAACTGTATGAGACGTATGGATGCTTGTACCCACCCTGGATGAGCTGTTCACATACTTGACGAGCTACTGCCCGCACCATTGCTTGGGACTGAAGGTCTCCCTGTATAACAAGAATACCATAATTAGCTCCTGATTTTCCTCCAGAAAATAAGTGGCTTAGGACAGAGACGTTTCTCAAGTGGTTCCCACACATGGATAGGCTTGTGTAGTTTCCTCATTGCTGGTGCAGCTGCCAACACAGTGCAGCGGCAACAAAGCAGATAACATGGCAGGTTGTCCCCAAATCTTGTCCCAATCCCACAGCAACAAACATCCCCCGTCTCCTGGGTCACTGGGACTTTTTTGTTTTGTTTTTTAAAAAATGGTAATTGAATATCATTATATCGATATAAAATTATAATAGTATACCTGTGTATCGGGTTCTCTGAATTCCCAGCTTTCTTTTTTTTAAAGTAAGTCTCTAACCTCTTCCATTGCAAAGACATGCCTTTCCCTTATATCTCCACAATGGAAGAAGCTAGAGACCTACTATTTTATTAAAAGCTGTGAATTCAGAGAACCTGATACAGAGATGGCTGGCAGGGGGAGAAACTGGCCACTACAGGTATGGGGCAGGGGAAATGGCTGCCGTGTGATAGGGACTGGATAAACCAAACTTTCTCATATACACAGCAGCCATCCAGGCTCTGCTACGATCTCTCACAAAACTTTGCAGAAAGGCAGTTTTGGGAAAGATCGGATGAGAGATAGACAAACCCCAGGAGGTGCCTGAATGCACCACAATGCCGTGGGGAAGAGCAAATAGCCCAAATGAAAATGGCCTGATTGCTAGAAAATACACCCTGAGGCCTTTCACATTCCTATAGCCTGCTCAGTTCTGCGTTTACAACAGGATACTTACACGTTCCAGCTCCTGCCAACCTAGCAGTTCAAAAGCAAGAAATTGCAAGTAGATAAATAGGTACCACTTTGGTGGGAAGGTAACAGCGTTCCGTGCGCCTTGGTGTTTAGTCATGCCGGCCACATGACCACGGAAACGTCTTCGGACAGCGCTGGCTCTTCGGCTTTGAAACGGAGATGAGCACTGCAACCCTAGAGTCGGACTCGACTGGCTTTAGGGCTGCAAAGTCCCCCCGGGGGGCGGATTTCCCCCCGCTTTGGAGGCCCGATTTCCACCGCCGCGGAATCGGGCCCCGGGGGAAACCCCACCCCGGCGTGCACGTCAGCCAGATGTGACGTGCTGATGCCGGGCACGCTGGGGGCGGGGCCACAGCCATCTGAGGGGAAAACTCTATGTTTTCCCCTCAGATGGCTGTGGCCCCGCCCCCAGCGTGCCCGGCATCAGTACGTCACATCCGGCTGACGTGCATGTGGTGCGCGCGCACAGGACGCCGGACGGGAGCCCCCCGCCGCCAAGAAAAACGCACTTGGCAAACCTAACTGGCTTTGGAGCAAGGGAACCTTTACCTTTACCTTTACTTACACGTTCTCCTCTCTCGCCTTTTGGTCCTGGAAGTCCCTGTGGAAAAAAATTAGGACCAAAAATTAGTTTGCGTGTGTGTCTTTTTGCCCCCTCAGTGCTTCACTGGCTAAAAACATGTGGCAGAACGGAGGCCATGCGGTTTGGTCCACGTTGGAGCTGCAATTAAAGTCTTCAGTGAGGCCGACTGCAGCTCAGCAAATATGCAAACAGTAGTACCTTAAAGACTCACAAAATCTGTAGCAGGGTATGAGCATTCATGAGTCACTGCTTGACTCACGAAAGCTCAGACCCTGCCACAAATTTTGTTCTACTGGACTCTTGGCTCTTTTCTAACATGGCTATCCATCTTGATCTGTCCGGATATTAAGTTGGATTTATATTTGTGCTAGAGCTCTTGTGCAAGAAAAAGTACAAGAGAAAGATCACTATAGATGCTTGTGCTAAGTCAGACTTTATTCTAGCCACTCTTGCAGTTCCACCTGGACGAGATCTTGTGCAATCAGTTTCTGGGCACTATAACAGATTGGAAGGAACGCGCTAGGAACTGTACAAGATCTTGCACATGTGGGACTATGCTAAGTCTAGTTTCAGAGGGTAGCAGTGTTGGTCTGCAGTAGAACAGCCGAATGAAGTGCAGTTGAATGAAGTGCAGTAGCACTGTAGAGACCAACAAGATTTTCGGGTATGAGCTTTTAAGAGGCAACGTTCCCTTTGTCAGACACGAAATGTGCTAAGTCTGTTTACGTTTCTGCTTGGCCTACCACTGGATCCGAGTCACTGGCTGTCAACCAAATTGAGGAGAGAGGAAGATCCATTTGTACAACAGAGATGGGCACGTGTATATAGTTGTACAATCAACAACTTCAAACCCTTGCACAACCAAATATGAAATAATGTAAACTAGTTGAGTAACATACTTAGAAAACTGCAATGTGGTTGAACACGTCCTTCCAAAGACAGTGTGTGTTCTTCATGAGCAAGCTAATCACAGTTCACAGGAACTGTGCAATTGTTTCATATTAAATGGGCAAACTAACCAAAAGGGGATTTGCACAAAACATCTGAGAAGATGATTGACATGGGAGGGGCGGTACAAACAGCGGGAGTTTCCAATGTGTCTTGGATACCTATAGGCTTAGTTATGACGTACAATGAGTCAAACCACACTCTTGCTGGCCGCTTCAGTTTCTCTTACGATAGTTTGCAGCTGCTTACCTACTGAACAGATACACAAACTGTCCCACAGCACCAGGGACTGCGAATTTATCACAGGGCATACGATAAAGGGCATAGGGCATATTAAAGTGACACAACCTCATATGGAAGATAGGATTTGTGGTGCACTAGTCAAAAAGGAAGTGCACAATTTTATTGTTACTTACAGGGGGACCAACGTCTCCTTGCTTTCCAGCATTCCCTGTAACTCCTGGCACACCTGGAGCACCAGGTATCCCCTACACGGAAAGAACAAGAGCAAACTTCAATATACTAATGCCAAATGAAGTATTACCAAAATATATTATCCATAAGAACATGAGAGACGCCAATGTTGGATCAGGCCAAAGGCCCATCCAGTCCAACACTCTGTGTCACACAGTGGCCTGTGTATCCAGTAATCCATGACAGCACGCCTGAGAAACTGAATTTAAAAACATAGCTGACATTACTGCACAATAATTTGGTGTGTTATATGTCTTCAAGTCGCTTCTGACTTATGGGGACCCTATGAATTATTGGCCTCCAAAACATCCTATCATTGACAGCCTTGCTCTGGGTATTGCAAACTGAAGGCCGTGGCTTCCTTGATTGAGTCAATCCATCTCATGTTGGGTCTTCCTCTTTTTCCTACTGCCTTACTCTTTGCCTAGCATGATAAATATTTTACCAGGACAGCCAATGGTCACCCTGAATGAGCCCCATCTTAAGATTCCATTTTCTGGCACAACCACAACTACTGAAAATACACCTAATGTGTGTTTGATATCCCGCCCAACCACCTCCTCACACCCACTCAGATTTTGATGGTTCTCTAGGAAGTGGTATGCTATAGCTAGGGTTGCTAGATCCCCTTGTCATGCCACTTGGGGGATTTGCAGGGGGGGGGCATTCCAGGATGTCCCCAATGTGATGACATCACCCAGAAGTGATGTCATTGCGTCGGTGACATCGGGGGCAACACTCTGGTCTTTGGGCAAAACTCTATGGTAAAACCAGCTTCAAACCAGAGCATCGCTCACAACGCCCCAACGTGATGATGTCACTTCCAGGTGACACCATTGCATTAGGGATGTCACACAGTGATGTTGCTGTTTGGGGGTGGGGGTTTTCCCCACCAGCTGGCCGAAGGCAGACAGAAGCCCAAAAACCTCGGGGAATTCCCACCCAGACCTGGGGATTGGCAACCCTAGCTACAGCCTTCCACACAGACACATATATTGGTAGAATCTGATTGCAGCACCAAATGCAGTTTCATGGCAGTTTCCCCATGTGGACAACCACATCAAAAGCAGATGTGTGTTGTGGCTACTGGGTTACCTAGGGGAGTGATGTGAAGTATTGCCTTCCAGGGGTATTTAGCTCACGCTAGCTAAAATGTAATAGTACCGGGGGGGGGGTGTCTACATTTTATGTAACTCTGTACAGGAACATACGGTTTAAAGGGCAGCTTGCCGTGTATCTCTTTTTATGTCTATGTTTACTTTCTATCTTTCTATTATTTTCTAGGAGCTGCGGTGGCTCAAGTGGTTAATACGCTGAACTGCAGGCTGTGGAAGGTTGGTAGCTCAGCAGTTCGAGACCCGGGTTGCCGCATGACGGAGTGAGCTCCCATCTCTAGTTCCAGCTCCTGCCAGCCTAGCGGTTCGAAAGCAAGAAATTGCAAGTAGATAAATAGGTACCACTTCGGTGGGAAGGTAACAGCGTTCCGTGCGCCTTGGTGTTTAGTCATGCCGGCCACACGGCCACGGAAACGTCTTCGGACAGCGCTGGCTCTTCGGCTTTGAAACGGAGATGAGCACCGCAACCCTAGAGTCGGACTCGACAGGCTTTCGAGCAAGGGAGACCTTTACCTTTTTAAAAAAAACTTTCTATTGTATTATCATAGCTGAGTTATAGTTCGCTCTGTATTTGACTATGAAATAAAATAAAATTAAATTTTTTAAAAATGTAATAGCACTGTGGAAATACTTGGCCAATACTTACCGCAGGTCCCGGGGCCCCTTGTGATCCTGTGGGTCCATCTTTCCCAGGAAGGCCCTAAATAACAGAAAGGCACATGAAATTAGTATATTGCTCTTTACACTGAGTAAGAAGTAACAACCATCTCCTATACATTGGACTAGTAAGTTCACTGCACAGCACGGTGGCGATTCCAAAGTCAGAGAAGAGCACGAAGCTCCATGCAAACACGACAGGGCCATGTCAGAGCTCCCTCTGCATTGAAGCTGCAGCGTGCTTTCCAGAGCTGGTGATGGGTGGGGCTGAAAGCATTTGAACCAGATTTTTACAGTACGCAACACCACCAAAGGAGTCCAGGGTCACTATCTAGAGGCAGGGAATGGCAAATCAACTCTGAACATCTCATCCCTTGAAAACCCTATGGGGTCGCCATAAGTTGGCTGTGACCTGAGGGGGAGGAGGAGGAGGAGAAGGAAACAAAGTCGAAGAAGAAGGTTTACATCATGATTTCAGTGTTCAAAGAGCTTTCGGAATACATGCATGCATTTATTTATTTTGTTGTTGTTGTTGTTGTTGTTATTATTATTACTTCAACTTATATACCGCTCCTTCCCGAGGGCTCGGAGCGATTTACAGAGAAACAATTTAACATCCTAGCTAGGGCCACATAGTACAGGGGAGAACTGAATGCCTACCAGGCACCCGAGCAGGGTGTGTTCGCTTGATGTTGCTCTTTTTTCCGGCTCTTTTTTCCATGGTGGGTTCTTTTCAAGGCGATGGTGTCTCGGCGAGATCTTTCTTCTGGTAGCGACTCCTTCTGGATTTATTTATTTAAATCTCACTTTTCTCCCCAGCTGGGACTCAAGAGTGGCTTAGAATATCATTCTCCCCTCCTCCATTCTCTAACAACAAGCCTGTGAGACAGGCCAGACTGAGAGATTTTGACAGGCCCAAGGCCACCCAATGAGCTTCCACAGTAGAAGTGGGTATTACAACCAGGATTGCCCAAGGTCCTAGTCCACTACTCTGTCCACTATACCACATTGCCTCTATGAATGCTGCAGTCTTTATAATGACGACTTCATACATTAAGTCACTATTATTCTCCTTATATTACACATTGTGGAGGGGAGGGGGGAGCACTGAGGTTTCCTAATGGGTTTGTGGTTCGGGTAAAGTTTGAACTAGGGAGTTCCTGGTGCACAGTTGAACTTCTTAGTAAGTATAGTTACAAGAGCTCTTAATATTTGTTAATGCTTTTCATGGATCTCCTAGGCAGCACAATTTCTGGTTTTCTTTAAAAGCATGCAGAGTGTTAATTTCAAAAGCTGAACTTCACTCCTCACGCCACCAGGATGCATCATAAGTTGGAGCTTATTACATGATACGGTAATATTGCAATGCAAACCGTTATTCATAGAAACACTTCAGCACTCCTATGAGTTTGTGCCATTGAACTGACGTTGAAGGGAAAAGACTTTTAAAAGAACTATTACAACAGCCACATTTAAAATGAAAAAGAACTTGTACATGCATTACTAAAACGTAGACCTTTTGACAAACTGAAAATTTAGATTTCATCTTCCATAATCCATTTTGGAGTATGTCCTCCCCATCCCTGAAACTCATGTTTTCGAGTTAGAATATACTGTAAAATGTTACAGTCACCACCCAACACCCGTGATCCACATGTGGACATGGGTTTCTGTAACAACTACAATGGAACCACATAAATAACTTTAGCCGGTTTCCTCTGTGGTCACAGTGTGTATAAGGCTCTGCCCAGGGGATGGTTAGGGGTTTGTACTACAGTATATTTGGCCCCTAATGCGCATGATGTAAAATCCCCATACACTTTGAATCATGTTCAAAATTTGGACTCCTTGGCTAGATTCCAGCAGGAGGCCCTCCCCTGTCATCTCAGCCTTGTCATAGAAGGTAGAAACTATTCCCCTGGCATGGAGTTTCTGAATTAGAGAAAGGCAAACACGTCAGCTGAAATGGAAATAGCTTTCAACGCCACCACTGCCAGTTTAAGCTTGCTACAAGAAGAAGTCAGTTCGCTATCCAAAATGGTAACTCAAAAATCATATGACTTTAGATATTCTGTGTTTCAGTGATGCTTGTTTTTCCACATCGCCTGTAATTGCTGGCTGTGGTGCATGTAGAGTAGTTTGACTCAGTGTGAGGCCCAAAGGAGATGTTACGATAAACGCATGACTGTCGATGAAAAATGGCAGCCACTGGCTGCTGTTGCTGAAAAGTGGGAAATGTGAAAATGTGGTGACGTCAAGGCATCAAGGTATATAATATGACACAGTGGGATAATCCACTGCCATTTTCAGAGGCAGTCATGCGTCCGGTCTAGTTTGATCCTGAATCTCCTGGCGAGACTGACTTGCCCCTTCCACCGTACCCTACTCAGGGTGTGCATCCTTCCCCTTCCACTTTTCCACTCAAGAGTCCATCCACACTGTCAGAAGGTTTGAACCATGCCAATTCACCTGCTTAAATGGGAAGAGAGGAGGTAAGCCCCACCTGTATGCTTTTGTTTCTATCATACTCAACCAGGGTTGCCAGGTGGGGCGTTGAGTTCTCCTGGAGTTCTCCTGGAGTTACACCACCATCTTTTCCACCACTTTCCATGAATTTCTTGAAACCTTCCAGTACTATGCATAATCGTATTTGGGGTTTCTAGTGACCCCAAGAAATACTGAAAAATGATTTTAGCACTGTTCCCATATATAAATAGATGGACCAACACCTATTAAGGAGCCTATGAGTAGCTTTCTATTGCACTTGGAGGTCTGTGGACTGCAGCCTTCCTTTCCACTCTTAAAAGTTTCACAAAAATGCTTCCACGTGGGTTTCTTTTAAAAGTTTATAATTTGCTTTCAAAGGTCCCAGCTTTTCCCATTTGGCTGCTACAGAGTATTTCCATCTAAACTCTCCGGGTATGTTTATTTAGGAACTTTTCCCGTATCTCTTGGCCATTTACAAATTTCCTCCTACTGTTTCGTTTTATTTTGGTTTTGTTAGGTGTAAAAATTGTCCTTCGTAAATCAAGTCGAACAAGAAGCAAGTGTGCAAGGAGCATTCCCACTGCTGTCCTTCAGATAGAAGATACATTCCAGTTTGGACACAACTTCAAAAACTCATGGCTAGATCTCATTTCTCGGGTTACCACACAGCAAATCCACATCTTAAACTGATTCCAGCATGCAGAGAAGGAATGGAACGATAGTTATGTCTGCCCACCAGCAAGCAAGGGCCATATCAGATGCTAAAACAATGTAAAACCCTGGACTTTTTTTTCTTATGGTTATGCTTGTGCTAGCTCTAAGCCAGGAGCAGTTATGGAATATCACAGCACCACACAACGAATGGAGGGGACAGGCACGCTGAGGAAGGATCAATCCCACTCCAGTTCCATAGTCTTTAGGGCACCCAAGACCAAAATTAGTCTTGGTTCAGTAAACATAGGATCCCAATTCCTGTGTTTGCGTCCAAAGGGGGGGGGGAGATATACAGATAAGGAGCACTGGTAAGAGATAATTAACCCATCCCTCCTCTCCATTCCCCCCCCCCGCAAACTTCACGTAGGATCTTTCTTCCATTAACCAGGCATATCTCCTAAGGAAAAAGCGGAGAAGCTTGGTTGTAGGGGGGTCCAACTTCTGCTCATCCACCCAATGCAGCACTTTTAATCACCACCATTCTGCTGCTTAAGAGGGATTTGGTGGTAGGCCTGCTGTGCATACAAGACTGCACAGTTGCCTCTAACTCGGCCTTAATGCATGGATCCTAAACCTGGCTTCCATTGGCACTGTGCCCCACCCATTTCAGGAGCTGTCCTCCACCATGGAGTGGAATTGGAGCTAGGTGCTCTTCAGCTCATGGAAAGACACTGCTGTTGAATGACTGTTCATTCTGCAACTTTAGAAATTTGGCCATCTCCTGTCTTTCTGGCACAGAGCTAAGGGTGTATTGCTTCATAACACCAAGAGAGGAGGATACTGAAGGGAGGAGAAGAGGAGATTAGTCCTCACAGTTTCTGAAGAGCCCCAACTGTATCTTCCCGGAGAAAGAGTGAAGATGGGCGCAGAACCCAAAGGTCTACTTTGCTCAGACACCTGCCTCATGTAACGTGCCACAATAAAGTTTTTGCAAAAGCTGGTGGCTATGCTGTCCATGTGTACTGTGCAAAAGCAATACTTAAACCTGTGGTTATTAAGTATTGCTATTTAACAAAACCAGGTAAGGAACCAGAGAATCCTCTTCCTCCTTTCCTAGTATGAAAGCTCAGAGTCCGTGTTAGATGAAAATTAAACTAGTAATCTCTAGGCTAATCCTGCATTGAGCAGGGGGTTGGACCTGAAGGCCTGTATAACCCCTTGATCCTATGATTCCAATTTGGGATGACAGTAAGGGGAAATCACATTTTTAAAAATTGTGACAATGAAATATTTATTTTCATCTTTTGGAATTGTGAAACTGTGAACTAAGCGGCAAATCGGTTATTATGCACATTGTGTGTGTAATGTGCCATCAAGTTGTAGCCAACTTGTGGCAACCCCAGCAAGGGTCTTTCAAGTCCCCAAATGTAGACAGCTTCAAGAGGGGATTGGATAAACATATGGAGCAGAGGTCCATCAGTGGGACACTCTGTCTGGGGCAGTGATGCTCGGTATTCTCGGTGCTGGGGGGGGGCAACAGTGGGAGGGCTTCTGGAGTTCTGGTCCTGCTGGTGGACCTCCCGATGGGACCTTGGTTTTTGCCACTGTGTGACATAGAGTGTTGGACTGGATGGGCCATTGGCCTGATCCAGCATGGCTTCTCTTATGTTCTTAAGCAGAGGTGGTTTGCCATTGCCTTCCTCTGCAAAATCTTCCTTAGTGATCTCCCTTCCGAGTACCGACCCTGCTTAGCTTCTGGGATCTCATGAGACTGGGCTATACCACACTGCCTTCCCTCCCATTATGCACACTGAAGTTTAGCAAAGAAGATGTAAATAGATGTGAAACACTATAAGTTCGGAATCTAAATGGTAACAATCTACAACAGGGTTAAATGTAAAT